AGGCCACGTTGTGCAAGCTGTAGCATTAACCATCAACCCTACTCCTGTGCAGGCCCAGCTCCGTACCTGGCTGGCATCCCTCCGCAGGCTGAGGCACCACCTCCATAGCTGCTCCCCTTGTCCCCTCCTCATCGCCAGGCCCACTGTGATGCACAGCCCCACACAAGGTGGCTCCGCTCCTAAAGCTGCCTGCCTTGCCCTCAGCCACACGTGCTTGGAGTTTGAGACAGGATTAAAACACTTCAGCAGCAGAAGAAAAGAGACCAAAGTAGCTGGTTATGAATATTTCTCTTATTTATAATCACAGCCTAGATTAAACATAAGCTTGTCTTCCAATCATGTTTTGTTTTCTTTCCCTGTATCCAACATCCCATACCCAGATTACCAAGAAGTGTGCCTACCAAGAAATTGATTTTCAATGCTGAGTCCTTGGAACCACCCCAATATCCTGAGCCTTCATTCTGCCTTTTTCAGTTCTCCCCATGGGTGGGTTGAATGCCAAAGTTTTGTGCTGCTGATAACAAAAGAACGAGCAGAACCTTTTTCTTCTGTTTCTTGCATCCTCTGTCACCTCACAATTAGTTTTCAAGAAAAAAGGAACAGAATTGCAGGAAAACCTTGCAGAAAAGGACCAGCAGCATGAATGCCTCTGCAGACACCACCAGAGCTGTTAGTCTTTGACTCCTGCTGGCAGTCAGTCTTGTCTAGGCCAGGAATGTGAGCTGTGCGCAGGGAGGAGGACATTTTAATTTTGTTATCTGGCTCGCTGGGAAGCACCTTCACCTCTGAAATCAGGAGGTGGCATGTTGTGTACATTGCAGTGAGGCTTGGGCACCTGCCCAGAGCTAGCACTGTGCTGCTGAATGATGAAAGAGAACTGTTGTGCTTGGAAAAAGAGCTGATGAATGCATGGTGCATTTCAGAGTACAGGAGATGATGCCAATATTCTGATGTCCACTCTCAAAGCACTCTCTCTGTTTAAAATGCTGAATAAGTTGGACACTAGAGAGATTAAAATAAATGTTCCAAGAAAATTTAAGAAGTGTAAAGATATAAAAATGCATGGGCATAAATAAATGGATATATAAATATCTGTATGTACCTGTAAATAGAAATGTACAAGTATATATACTGTCATATTGATAGAAAGGGAATTGAGAAATGCAAGTACAAAAAAGTAAAAGAAAAGGGCACAGAGCGGTGTAACGACATCTTTATTCTGTCTTACTCCCACTCTCTGCCAAAACTCCCATAATTTAAACTAAACAGATAATGAAATGAGATCAAACAGATAATGCCAGTCCTGTCAGTACTTCTCCAGAGTTAACTATAATACTTTGACACATCTGCTTTAGAAAGGGAAGGTCCTTCTCCTCTGGACTACATGATGGCACTTACACTGCCATGCTAACAGCTCCTTCAACAGTGGGATAATTTCTAAGACCAAAAGAAAAGTTGAGTTAACTGCATAAGATACAGTAAATGTACTTATCAGAGATTTAAAAATAAAACATAGGATTCCTTCCTAGAAAAGATCTGAGTCACTCATGAAGGATAGGTCTTTGCACATTTCCCCTTATTTTTTTCTTGAACAAGTCTGTTAGTAAGAACCTCTGGCTCATTCATTTGGTAGTTCTGTTAATATTATGTGAACTCCTTCCTTCTCCACTAAACAAAACACCATCTAGGGCCAATTCAGGAAAGACCTTTTCTATATACATAGCACAGTAAGAAAGAGGACTGTCACCCAACTTCACATGGTTTATGTGCAATGTAGAAACTGTATGATGTTTCCACTACAACACACGTTAATGAATATGTTTAAACCTCAATTTTGTTGTCACTTTGCTTATTCCCTTAGTTTATTCACATTTCTATATGGCCATCTCAGTTTGGTTAGTCATAATTACTGGTGCACATTCAAATTCTGAAGGCTCATTTGATCATTCCCCATTAGGAATCAGCAAAAGAATTTCTTAAAGAACTCTGGGCTAACCCGATACCAGGCTGCTTTACCTCACTCTCTGTCTTTAAAATGGGAAGGGTGATCCCCCTGACCATCCTTCCAGGCTGTTTTGTCTGTTAACATTATCTGTTGGGAGAGAGGGAGGCACTGATTGCCTATAGCTGTTTTTAAATTATCTGCTACTGTGGGGACCCAGTCTTGCTTGAAGGCTGTCAGTGTGATCACACAACAAATATAAGGATAGTCCAACTGTGTGCAATAATGCTATTTTAGCCAACATAATGTATATCTGGGATGGTGTATTGGTACACATACAGAGAGCTGCTGTGGAGCAGCATTTTTTCCTGTGTACGTAGAATTGTAGTTCATAGCCTTATGGTTAGGTATGACAACTCAAAATGCAGAATACATAGTTCAAAGTCTTAAGGCTCATTACTATCTCCATCTCCCCATCCATCTTGATTCAAAAAAAAAAACACAACAAAAATCAAATGGAAAAATACTACTAGGTTAATACAGACATGCTAACGAAGCTTTGTTATTATTTTTTAAAACTCATTTATAGTGTTAAACAAATTATGGAAAAGGAATTTGATTCATGAATGCATTAGGAATCTACTCAACTAAAGCCCCTTTTCACAAATTAAATCATAAACCAAGAGTCAAACATGATTTGTGAAATTAACATTTATCGAGGAAACACTCCTCAGTGATGCATCGTGATTAGTCTTTGGCATCTGAAATATCACCCATAATTCACAAGCTTCTCTGAAACGATGCCACTATCGTTACTGTTGAAATGGCAGGCATGATGGAAAGGTGCTGCCACAATCAGAGAGCAATCCTTCTTTTGATGCTGGTGAGAATCAGAGGTCACTGTGCCTTATTTGGGAATGTACATGCATCCTCACTTCTCATCCCACACACATCTCAGCCTAACACAGGCACTCTTTTCCACTTCTTAGATTTATCCAAGGCTATGGCTGTTTCTAATTTTAAACAGGGAGGCTTGGCAGCAGTGCTGCATTATGCCCTTTCTTTAAAATAGTGACTAATAAAAAATGAATTACAATTAGGAGTCACTGGCAGTTTCACAGAATCAGTGTCTTTCAGCAGAGGGATTCGGTGCTTTTGTGGGTAGAGGCAGACAGCTCAGTCTTACAGAGCCAGAAGCTATGGCACAAAGATGACTTTGTGTGACTGACAAAGCCTGCTTTCGAGCCCAACCTATCTAGAAGCCAGGAACTCCAGATACAGGTTAAAGATATGGGATGCTTCCCTTTACAAGGTGATTTTCATCAGGAAGATAGCATATCTACCAAGAAATACAGTCATTTTTTGGAAGTCTTCGTGTAAGACTATTCCCACTGCTCTGAGCACTAGATATTCGTGGCTTGGAGCAAAATATGCCCCAAGCCTTTTGGGAGGGATGAAGGATTACTCAGCTCAGCTATTGCCTTTGCAGGTGTTCAGAGTAAGTAGAAAGTTTCAGTACCATTATAATCCATCTCTTCACCTCAAGTTGTTGTCCCTTATGTATTCCTACCTTGTTTTTGCCACAATTCCTACACTGTTTTCACCAAGTATACCACACCTACCTGGAAAACATAAGCTGCAAGCCGGGTTTATGCTAGTATCCATGTGTTTGTGTGCATGTACATCTAAATTATGGAACATTCAAATAAACAAGAATATACCTTCTCTCTTACCTAAAAGAAAGCCGGGTGCCTGATTTTAACTTTCTCCTTCCAGAATAAAGTGGTACACACTCTTACAAATGGTACCAATCCTTTCTTTTCAGGATTAAAGGAGAACATCCTGCCTGTAAAGCTTCATGTGTACCAACCTCCTGCACACTGAGCAGACTGCATTCAGATCCGGGTCTCTGTTTTCAGCTGGGGCAAACCAGGCTTAATGGAGTCATGACCATTTTTGCTACTGAGAACAGAGCACTCAGTATGCAGCTCAGAGAGCATCTGAGCCAGCCTACACCAAATGCCTGCACGAGTGCACTCTGGCAACCCCACTTCACTGCCAGTGGCAGGCTCTGCCCCACAGGAGGATGGGGAATCCAAAACAAATTACTGACTGCTCCACTAAGCAAACCTTTTGGCACAGAAGCCTCACTTCCTAGAAAAGGAATTCACTGGTCCAGTAACAAGGCTGGCTGAAAAGTCCACAAGGGATTGTTGCTTTCACTCAAAACGCTTTCTTTGGGTAAACAGTTATTCCCTTCTTGCATTGTGACATTGTGGAGAGGTCACTGAAGGATGCTGGTTTTTAAAAATTGTTTAATTCTTTTAAACACTCTCTTCTATTTGCAATAACCTGCTAAAAAGATGAAAATAACATTGAGTTTCCTACTGGTTTGCCCTTTTCCATTTGGAGAGCATTGATTTTTTTTCCTGTTGTGCCAAGATTAATATGGCCTGTTTGTTTGACAACAGATTCAACATATCTAGTGCCCTGTCAAGCTGAAATGACTCTGTCTGTGGACAGCATCCCTGCCTGGCACTGCAATGATCTGAAAAAAGAAGGCTTTGCTAGTTAACTGTCTCTGCAAAACCATGAGGACATTTTCAGTAGCCTTTAAAAACAAAAATTGTTGTTGATAGTATATTTAAAATATTGCTGGAAAGCATCAAGAGATTCAGTGAAAACTATTAGGCAAGGGAGGATTGCCAAATTATTCACTTAACAGTCTGTCATAGTTTTGATTGCAAATGTTTCCTGATAGTATAGGTACAAATCTTCCTCCCCTCTTGCTGTTCGATAGAAAACATTGTTCTCTCTCCTCCATTTTAAGTAGAAAAAGAAAGAGCACATAAGCAAAGTACAGAGAAGAAAATGAGAAAAGGCAGTAAAATAAGGACTGTTTCTTCCTCATTTAAGTATCAGATATGGACACCAGTTAAGAGTGAAAATACACCATGCTCCACTCTTGGAAATGCCAGCAAGGTCCAAAACCCCTCCTCTCCCTCCCATCCTTCCTCCTTCCCTTCCCCTTTCTCTGGCAAAAGCCAGTAATACCTACAAATATTTTTTATTTTCGTAAACGTCATGCAGCTTTAAAACATGGGGATGCTCTATCAACTTCAGGATGGCTATTTCCCGCTCCACCTGGAAAAAAAAACAAACAACAAAAAGAAATACAGAAGATTAGAAGCTAGATATTAGAATGCATCATATATCATAACACATTTTCTTCCCACTTACCTATTTCCCACTCCTCTTCATATGCATAGGATTCTTCGACTTACAGCAATATTTAGCACTAATTTTTTTTTTTTTTTAATTATTTGGTCTTAGCACTCCCTGCATTGCAGGGCAGAAAACTGGCGAAATTTCAAAGTTGAAAGAAGAGTCCCAAATCTATCAGTCAGTGTCAGGAGCTATAGGAGCATTTGAAGCTACTGCTGCCTCACTACCCAAAGCCCTGACATACTCTCAAAGTACTGAAGCTCCAACATGGCACTGAGGGCTCTCCTGACCTCTCATACGCACGAGTGGCCACACTGCACTATGCACTGCATGCTCCATTGATATGAGAAAATTCCCATCCTGAAGAACTGGCGTCGTATGTAGGGGAGAAGAAGGGCAGAAGAGTATTGTTATTTCGGAGCTGCAGAACTGAGGCACAGAAAGAGAAAGAAATAAAAGAGGTGACATAAGAAGTACAAGGTACAACAAGAAATTAAACCCAATTACTGGAGCTCTGGTGTTCAGATCCTTAAGCGTAAGACCTTGTTTTCTCTCAATTCCCAATCTGTCCAAGCACAGCTACTTCTAAGAGCGTGTCTTCAACACTGAGTTAATAAGTTGTGACTAAGTCTCTGTAATTAGCACAAGTCTTGTTCTTACCCAAAATTCCTATCATGACTGCAGCGTGGTTTTAACTTGAAATTACTAAGGGTATTCATTAGAGATGAAGTCAGAGCAGTTCCTCAGCTGCTAGCAAAATTGCTCAATGCTGCTCAAAGCCACACTGTGACTGCTCTGATTTGACCTAGGCTAACTTGAAGGGAGTTAATGTAGCACTGTGGAGACTATAGATAAATGAAATAAACTCTGCAACAGCATGAAGTCTAAGCAACACAGAAATTTCCAGGAATCCAAAAAGCCAAGAAAATGCCCTAAAGATGAAAAGAACAACAACTACATAGGGCTTTTTTTTTTTTCCAGTTCTTCAAACAAATGATTGTCTTGAAGTTGCTATCCTAACAATCCAAACATGAACAAACTACAAAAGCATCCCTGAACATTTCCTCAGCAGGGCTCAGACAAATAATTAGGCACTTGTTTCAGTATAGCCTTAGTTCTTGATGTCATTTAATTTCCTCAGATATCATCCTCTACTAAACCAGAACACAGACAACTTTCTTTGAGTGCTAGTAAGATACTCAGCAGGAAATTAGAAAGTGCTAGTTTTCCAGCAATAAAAAGAGGAGGAGGATCTCCCAGCACACTGGCTATCACCCCAGATCTCTCTTCCTCAATACTACCACACAAAAGCGTCACACTTGGCTTTTCTCATGTATCAGGATGGAGAAAAGTGTGTTTTTTCATGTGTCAGTCTTATTCCTTCAAAGACACTCTGCAGACTCAAAAGAGAGACCCATTTCCACACTTGTGATCTCTGGAAACAGCTACTACAAGGAAATGAGGAAAAGTGTATCAGGAGGCTCTACTGGATTTGTGTACGTGCATCAGCATGTAAACATATAGGTACACAGCATTTTCAGAAACAGTATGAATTCGGAGATACACAGTACCTGATGTTAACAGCTCTGTAGGCTTAACTGGCTCATGACCAGCACTCAGATGAAAGCCACTTATACAAACAGGAAACAAGACCTGAGTAGATCTCAACTGAACAGCTACAATGCTGGAAAAAAAAATGGTAGGAGAGCTAGTTTATGTAATTTTTATCTCCTCTTCAAAAAAAACTTGTTACTCTTTTACCCTATGGGATACACTGACATTTGCAGAGAGCTTGCTGAAGTTGGATTTGCTTCAAGGATGAGGAAAAACAAAACAGAAAAAGCACCCACTCCTCTCACAGTTCTCCAATAGTAATCAGATTCAGACGTTAGCATCCTGCACCATAACTGCTCAGAAGCTGAAGTTCCCACAGCACAGTTCTCTTTGGATGAGCCAGACCGGATAAGTCAAGGGGAACACGACCACTGCACTAGCTATGGCTGTGGTCATTCAAACCCATTCTCCATCCTGTGAGTTTCCTGCCATGGTACAATGAAACTTCCTGTAGATGTGCTAAATGATTGCACTGGAGATTCAGTTCCGTAAAACCTCTTGGTGGGTGCTTTGGCAATGCACATTCAGACCAAGTAAATGATGGATAGCAGCATCCCGGCATGGTCCTGCTTGGCTACTGTCCTAAAGCAAGAGATGAGGCAGTGATTTATGAGTACTGCTCAGAGAGGGGGATTCAGTTACAGCACTGCATGGCCTGTAATCTATTCAGTAAGAGAAAATCAGACAAGAAAGCAAATATCCACTTACTACCTACATAGTTAGGCTACAAAGCTATTAAAAGGAAATAACCCAAGTTCCTTTACTTTCATCACTTTAAGTGTAAGAGTGTACAAAGTCCTGCACATATTTTTAACTTCCTGGAAACAAAAGTCCCCAGAGGAAATACAGTTTCAAAGGTCTTGACTTCAAGTTCAGGTATGCAGAAAACATCCAGCTTGGCAGTGCTTGGCAGCACTGCCCTGCAACATATTCAGTCACGTGCTGCACTTCCTCAGCCAGCTTTCCAGCCTACTACTTATTTTCTATCTGTAAACCAGGGATAAAACCAACCTACCCTTCAAAGTGGGACCCTGTACAAGCCTTCAGTGAGAAAGAGGAAAAGTGATTATACTTCTCACTGTCTGGGCCCACTGACTGTCATGGTTTTGTAATTTTTGCTATTGGTATTCCATACATAACATAACATCATGCAAAACACGTTAACTAGATCAATCTATGCCCGGGACACTGACAAAACACTGGTGGCTGTATTGCTTCAACAACAAGAGACTCCCAGGTCTCTGAACAGTCAAACTGATCTTCCTTAGAGCAGTGCCCCATCTCTTCTTTCTTCCAAAGAAATATGGTTCCCAAAAACCAGCAGCAGACCACCTTCTCAAGGTGACAACTGCAGCTTTTGTCTTTGGGTGGCTCTCTTGGTTCCTTTTCTCACAGAGAAGCCAGAAACTGTTAAGTGCTGGATACAGACTGTAGATCTCACCAGCAACTTTACTAATGGCACCAAAGGAGAGGTATTACCTTTCTACAAAGTAGAAGAGGCCTTATAAAGCAAGCAGCTTTGCCTTCTTCCCTAAAGCTCTGGCAGCTATTGCTATGCCTGTTTTTGTGCACTCCTGTGCTTTCAGGCTGCACAGTGCTGCCCAGCTCAGAACTGGCAAGGACGGGAGAGCGTAGAAACCCTGCAGGGGTGTTGCTTTAATGCAGAAGCAATTATCAGAAAGCAGGCCAAACTCAGAATAGCCTGTCTGGGGAAGCTCAGAGTCAGTGATAAACAGTATACATGGAGAAACATTTGCATAGTAGTTAAAAAAAAAAGGAAAAAAAATGGAGCCCTCTGCATCACACAGACACCAGGGCATGTGATGGGATCCCAGCAATAGTCTGGGCTGCCTCATACCAGAGCAGGTTATTGATTGTGCAGCACACCAATGCTTTGGAGCTAAAAGGAAAAACAGTGAAAGTCTGTGCAGGGCAAATGGAGACACACTGCTAACTTGTAACTGTGCAGGTGCCAATTAGAGCCTTTAAAAATCTATGCAGGAGGCTGATTTGACAGGATGCTCCAGTGATTCAGCTAATGACGAAGAGCAACATGAGGGCAACATGACCCTTAGAGGAATACTGCAAAGCTTCACTTCCTCTCTGCCGCCTCTTCTTCACCCTCCTTCTCTCCCAGAGGAGTCTTTCTTGTTTAAACCCATCTCATCAGCACAGTTTCCACTGCTGACAAGTGCTCTGCTCCCTTGCCTTCCAAGTCACAGACAAGCGGGGTGCATATTCACCTACAGAGGATGGAGAGCAGATGGAGGGAGCCACATGCATCATCTTCATCACATATGTGTCAGTGATGAAGAAAGGTTCCTTTCTTCTTGTATCCACATTCAAAAAGGTGTCCTGGCTGGTGAGGAGCAAGAAAGTCCTGCAGGCTGTACATTTGTTATGAATTTTTCCTAATGGGCAAAACCAAAAGCACCAGATAGTAAGAAACCAATCTCTTCCAGGTCTCCGGAAAGTCTGCATTTTTGCCATACCAATTCATATTCTGTGAACAGACCTCGGAATCTTCCTACTTTTGCTACCATGAAGCTTATGTGGGTTTGAAAGTTAAAAATTATAAAAAATGACTTGCTTTGGTGATGACCAAAGTTTTCATACTTTTCCATGATAACAGAATAAAAAAAAGACTATTCTTGAGAGAACAGCATTAAAACAGAAATAGTTTTATACAAGTAACTGTAAACCTAGCATGTCCTGTGTGGTCACTGTTGTGGGGATATCACTCTTCCAAACTAACTTAAGTCATTACAATAATGTAAGCAATATCACACTGGATTACTTGTATCTTTATTTTCAATGGAACATAAACAGGGTAGAAGTAGAAAAGAACAGTTTTCACATGATGAAACATTACAAGATCTTCCTCTGCAGTTCTGAATTTAATTGATATCTCACTTAGTGAAAGTAGCCTTTCATTACACTTATCCCAAACTTCTTCAGCAGGCCATTATAGAAGCAAATGGAGAACCACAAAAGTTGGCTACCTACAAGAGAGCATTTCCTGCTGCTATTCTAGCCATTAGCTTCAAATTTCTGAATATAGTGAGCCAGATTCAAAGTGTATTGAAGTCAACAAAAGACATCAATTGACTTAAGTGGGCTTTGAATCAGATCTTCTAATGATCATTAAGTGGTATCTGGAAGAAATCTTCTATTACACAATTTTGACTAATTAAATGCTTTAACATGAATTCAGGTTTTCTGCTAAGTACTAGTAATTACGAGAAGATTCTATAAAAAGTGGATAAACGAGGAGGGGAAACTAGATTTAGATATACATAGAATCA